TGTGCTGTAGTGTTTTCAGTGGATCCTTTTTTCACAAGTAGATCACAGGCCTTTCTTCTGAGGCTCCTCTACCTGGACTCGAACCTCTCATCCTTTGGTTAACAGCCAAGTGCTTAACCATTTGAACTCCCTAGAGATCCAATGTTCTAAATAGGTTTTACTTCTGATTATAAATCTCACACAATTGACTTATTTGCATAAAGTGGTAGAAAGATTCTTACTTCTAAAAGCTGCCTTACTATTATCTCTTTTTCTCTGTGTTGCTGTCTCTTTCTCTATAAAGCCTCACGTGCCTTTGAAACCTAAGCTTACTTTTTGGCCTGCATTTTAACTGTGTTTAAATAGGTTAAATATTCACTTAGTTCCAAATTTTTAAAATATGTAAAAACATAGGTGTCTTACTCACCCTGTTCTACTGTCTGACACCCACCTTCTTTTCCTTCCTGTCTTTCTATCGTGGGGATACTCCCTTCTTAGAATTTAGAAAGGTCTTTTTGTTTTTGCTTTTTTAACAGCTGTGTGGTGGTGGTGGTGTAATCCTGGTGTGGTGCTGTGGGATAAAGCACTGGACCACAAGGTTGGTTTAAACCACAGGGTCAGCAGTTCAAACTCACCAGCTGCAGGGTTGCTATGAGTCAGAACTGACTTGACAGCACACTTAACAACAACATGGTGTTGGTGGTGGTGGTGGTGGTGATGTGCCATTGAGTCAGCTCTGACTTATAGCTACCCTGTATAGGGTTTCCAAGGCTATAAATGGGTAACGGAACAAATAAGCCTCATCTTTCTCCTAAGGAGTAACTGGTAGATTCAAACTGCTGACCTTGCAGTTAGCAGCCCAACTCAACCCGCTACACTAGCAGGGCTCCTCAGCAGCTGCATAGTGCGCCATTTGTTAATGTACCATATGTATTCAGTCCCTTACAGATAAAACTTGACATCTTTTTCTTCCAGTCTTTTGCTCTTAAAACAATCTTACAGCACAGAATTTTGTAGGTGTGCTATATCTGAAGATAAATTCACACAAGTGGAATAATAGGGTTAAGAGGTATATACATTTTGGTACATTTCCATCAGCTTGTATGAGAAGATTACAAGATTGTTTTATGTTTAATACTTGAGCATCTGTTATGCTAATCACTGTATAAAATATAAAAATGTCATGGCAGAACTTCTAGATCATTTTAATGAATATGTGTAAGTCTTCTATATGTGAGGAGAAACATAAAGCTCTTAGGGTTTCTATTTCATATCAGTCCCTAAACTGAAAATAAAAGTTCCAGGTTAAATTACCTATTCTTACTCTTTGTTATACTTTATTGTAAAAGTTAAATGGACATCTTCATTTCAAGTTGAAATTTTACATAAAACACCATAGTAACTCTTAATTTCTTAAGCTTTTGAAAGCCATGTGATCTACATTGACAAGCACACACACCAAGATTTGTGTACAGATTAATTACTGTCATCTTGACATTTGCTTCCTTGATATTTCATCCCAGTATCAAGCATTTTGAGCCTTTCTTAATTTGTTTCTGTTGGGGAAGCTCTGGTTATACGTAATCCGGTCCTCATTTCCTGTGTTTAAGATAGGTGATTTCAGACATGGAGCAGTAGGATATTTGTTGGTAAGTGCTGTTGAATTAGTTACGACCCATAGCAACCCTTCATAGGGTTTCTGAGGAGCAGCTGGTGAGCTTGAACCACTGACCTTGCAGTTCAAACAGCTTTCCAGTGTGGTGCATTAACCCACCACACCACACCAAGACTTCTGAGAGGACTAAAGTAAAATGACTTTTCTAAATGACCTTAATCCCTACAAATATAATCCCATGTTATATTTTTCTATACTACCAGCAGTTTAAGGAGCTCTGGTAGCGTAGTGGTTACGAGTC